TATATATATATATCTATATATATATCCCTGGTTTTTTTTTCTTTATTGTTAGAGAATATGACGTCACCGAATAAAGTTTCTTGTCTTTTATTATTTTTTTGTCCGTTGGTGGTAACTCGCAGGTGAGGGAAAGATGCAGAAGAGAGTGGACGATGTTTCAGGACAGGTTGTCTGATTCAGAGAACTCCTATTTCCAATCAACTTCCCTCCACCACTAAAACTCCCTTCATGCCTCTTCTGGTGATTTTTTTTTTCTTCAACTATTTACTGTTTGCTTCTTTTTTTTTCTTGTAAAGCTGTGTTTTTTCTTTCCGTGTTCGCCCCCCACTTTAGAGTCCAAAGTTCGAATCCGTAACACCAACAACATGGATTACGTTATAACTTACATAAGCTTCCTTCAACACACAAGGTATGGAGATTTCCCCTCCGACCACCTTCGGGTGCTTCACATCCCACACGTGTGGTGCCGGTTGTGCGTGTGGGTCGGGATTAGTCTGGGCCTTTTGGGTCTGGGATTACCCGGTTATCAAAAAAAAAAAAAGAAACTTACATAAGCTTCCGTATTATTTTTCCCCTAAAAAAGAGTTATATTCTTTTCAAAATTAGTCAAAAAGTTTTGTTTCATTTGATAGGCTCTTTCTGTTTGATGGATAGTTCCATCATGTTGTATTTTGTCAAACAGACAGTGGTTAGTCGAGGTAGATTTTGTGTAAAGCATAAATATTCTCGAACATTTATTAGAATATATACACTGCGGTCTACAAATGTTAGATGCTAGCAGGGAAGTGATTCTGCCCACCAAGGTTTAAATTCCATTGGGCCAACTATTATATATATATATATAAAATTAGATGCTGCATGGTCTGACGTTCTTCTGTTATAAATCGTTTATTTTTTGTTGACATGCAAAAAAAAAAAAACTTTAGACCTCGAAATATTTTATTACTAATGACCCTATATGGTTGAATAACTGTTTTCACCTTCCGTAAAACTAATTTATAAGTTCACCTTTTCAACTCTGAGAAAATCATTTCGAAGAGAGAAAGGAAAGGAGAATTTTGGAAAAGATTTTCTGATTTCTTAATTACAAATGTCACTGTACATCCTAATATATACACATTACTGACCTAAAGAATTTGAAAATACAACAGAAAAGAGAGCGAAAATTTACAAAATTTCAGTAACAGAAATGGAAAACAGGTTCGTTCCGAGTCTGGCACAGCTAACCAAACCAGAGAGGAAACGTTGCGCCATTGCTGTGTGAATATACACTAATACTCCCCCTCAAGATGGGGAGAACAAGTGCTGAATACCCATCTTGACCAGCAATTTCCGAGAAAGCTCAACAGAAATTGGCTTAGTCATGATATTTGCAACCTGTTCCGAAGCCGAAAGATGGAGAGGCTTGAGAAAATCAGACTTCAGATGTTGTCGGACAAAGTGGCAGTCAAGTTCGATGTGTTTCGTGCGCTCATGAAACACGGGATTGTTCGCAATATGGACTGCACTTTGATTATCACAGAACAGAGTCACAGGGCGAGGACAATCGATAGAAAGTTCCGAGAGCAAAGCAGCTAACCAAACCAATTCGCAACAAGTCTGCGCCATTGCCCTATATTCCGCCTCCGCACTGCTTCGAGAAATTGTGTTCTGTTTCTTGGATTTCCAAGAAATCATGGAGTCTCCGAGAAACACACAAAAACTAGTGACCGATCTTCTAGAATCAGGGCAACTCGCCCAATCAGAATCAGCATAAGCACTAAGTCAGATATCAGATATAGCAGAGTAAAAAAGGCCCTGAGCAGGAGCGTTTTTCAAATATCTTAACACCCGAAAAGCAGCCTGAAGATGAAATGTTCTAGGGGCAGACATATACTGACTCAATTTAGTAACCGAGAAGCATATGTCTGGCCGTGTTAGAGAGAGGTATATCAACTTCCCAATAAGTTGTCGGTAAGGCAGAGGATCAGACAACAATTCTCCAGAATCCTGACAAAGTTTCTCCTTAATATCCATCGGGGTTGCAACAGCCTTGCATCCTAACATGCCAAAGTCTTCCAACAACTCTAGGGTGTATTTGCGCTGACATATGTAGATGCCTCGACTAGATCTAGCTACCTCAAGACCAAGAAAGTAACGCAGAGGACCAAGGTCCTTGATCTGAAAAGCAACACTTAAAGTAGCTTTTAGATCAGAAACCAAACCAGAATTATTTCCAGTGATGAGGAGATCATCAACATATAACAGAATCACAACAATATCGGCACCTTCTCGTCTAAAAAACATAGAAGAATCAGATTTTGCTTGAACAAAACCACCAGTAATCAAAACATCAGAAATCTTCGAGTTCCATTGACGTGAAGCCTGTTTTAATCCATAAAGTGATTTCTCAAGTCGACAAACCGAATTTGGAGGATAAGTCTCCCCCTGAAGATCAGCATATCCTGGAGGTAGACGCATATAAATCTCTTCATGGAGATCACCATTTAAGAAAGCATTACTGACATCCATATGACAAAGTGACCAAGCAAATTTAGCAGCTAATGCTAATAAAGTCCGAACTGTAGCGAGTTTAGCAACAGGGCTAAATGTCTCCAAGTAATCAATGTCCTCCAATTGAGTGTACCCTTTAGCAACCAACCGAGCCTTGTGACGTTCTACAGAACCATCAGCATTATACTTGGTTTTAAAAACCCACTTACAACCTATAGGATGCTTACCAACAGGTAGAGAACATATGGACCAAGTCTTAGTTCTAGCAAGAGCACTCAACTCAAGTTTCATAGCCTCCCTCCATGTTTCAAATTTTGTTGTCTGGGTAATAGGTTTGAGGTTCAGGCTCGGTAGTAATGGCAAGGGTAAAATTTCTGTATGGTGGGGATAAATGGTCATAAGATAAAACAGAAGATATAGGATGAGCAGTCACAGAGGAAACTGAAAGAGAATATGTATGGTGTAACAAGTAACAATGATAATCAGAAAGATAAGCAGGTGGTTTGTGTTGTCTATGTGGTCTGACAGTATTATCCAAAGGCAACTGATCACAACTAACTGTTTCTGCAAAAGAAGGACTCGAAGAAGAAGGAGATGGATTATGATTAATCTGAACAGAATCAGACAATCTGGAGTCAAAAAAAGAAAGGAGACACAGAGGAAGGAAAGAAATCTAATGTAGCAGAAGGTAGTGAATCATAAATGAAAGGAAAAGAAGATTCATGAAACACCACATTCCGGGAAACAGAAATTACATTAGAGTCCAAATCCATTACCTTATAATCCTTGACACCATGAGGATAACCCAAGAAAACAGATTTTTGAGATCGAGGACTGAATTTATGTCTGTCTTTTTGTTGAGTTGATACATAACAGAGATAACCAAAAACTCTTAAATGAGAGTACTGAGGCATTTGATTGGTGAGCATTTCAAAAGGAGTTTTATGATTCAAAACAGGAATAGGCAATCGATTAATTAGGTAAACAGAAGTAAGGACACAATCACCCCAAAAACATAATGGAATATTGGATTGAAATAAAAGAGCTCGGGCAACATTTAAAATGTGCTGATGTTTTCTCTCTACAATAGAGTTTTGTTGAGGTGTATATGGACAAGAGAATTGATGATCAATGCCCATACGAAGTAAAAGATCAGTGAAAGCAAGTTCAGGGGCATTATCCGAACGAATACACTTAATATGAGCAGAATACTGATTCTAAATATAAGAAAGGAACTGTGGAAATTTGCTCAGAACACCACTCTTAGATTTCAACAAGTAAACCCAAGTACAACGAGTAAAGTCATCAACTATAGTAAGAAAATATCGATGACCATGTAAGGTTTCAGTATGAAATGGACCCCAAGTATCTATATGTATCAACTCAAACGGAGCAACAGACTTATGACTCGAAACAGGAAAAAGCAAATGTTTCTGTTTAGCCAAAGGGCATACAGGACACAACAAAGTAGAATCAGAAGAAGACTCAATATCAATCTGAGAAGAATGACCAAGAGAACTGATTTTAAGATTGGAAGGATGGCCAAGACGGTGATGCCACACATCAAAGGAAGTTGTAGATAAAGCAGTGCAGAGAGGGACTGAAAGTGCAAAAGAAGAAGAGCTCTGCATCTGAAAAATATAGAGGTTGTGGCATTGACTACCCTTGCCAATCATCAAGTCCTGAGTAAGGTCCTGAATGATATAAGAATCAACAGAAAAAATCACAGAACAAGGGATCGTTTTAGTAAGACAGTTGACACTAATCAGATTATAATGAAAAGAGGGAATAAACAGAACACAAGACAAAGTAATTTTGGAAGACAAGATGACAGTGCCAGCTTTAGAAACAGAAATCGAAGAGTGATCAGGTAAAGAAAGAGAAACAGTCGGAATATCATGTAGCTCAGAAAATAAAGTCAGATCACAACAGACATGTGAACTAGCACCAGTATCAAGAATCCAAAATGGTGAGGATATGGTAAGGTTAGGTGTAATAGAGGAAAGTATGGAATGAGAAGGTAAGAAAATACCTGGAGCAGGTGGTTGAATAGCAGCAAAATTTGAACCAAGAGAAGAAGGACTCTGTCCCTTTTGTTGTGTGAGAAATTGCGCAACCAGAGACTGAACCTGTTCCAATAAACTCTGACCAGAGCAACCATCACTATCAGACTTAAGGGAACTCGAGGAATCAATACTGTCCTTTTGTGAATTCATCATATTCACATGATTCTGAAACTTATCAGGAACATAATATTTCTGTTTCGAGGAAGTAGAATTCCTCTGATTCCAAGTAAGCGAAGTCTTATATCCCGGAGGATAACCATGGAGCTTAAAACATCTGTTTACAGTATGACCAAGCATGCCACAATGAGTGCAAGTCGGTCGTGGCCTAGAATGAGTAGAAGAATTACCAGAATTCTGAGGCCTGTCAACAGGGTTAGAAGAACCACCACCAGATCTAGGAAACTGACTAGAAACTTGAAACGCTACAGCCTCAGGAGCAGCCGAAATATTGAGACGTTGTTGCTCCTCCTGGGCCACAAGATTGTACGCCTTTGTCATGGATGGGAGAGGGTCCAGCATTAAAATCTGGCGCCAAGCAGCTATATAAGACTCATTAAGACGCATAAAAAATCTCACAACATTCCTGCGTTCAAATAACTCCAACCATTGCTGATCCAGACGACACTTGCATCCACCACAAGTGCAACCTCCACAATTACAGGTGGGAATAGACTTATAATGTTTGAGTTCGTCCCATAAGGCATTCAACTTGGTATAATAACCATTAAGATTTAAAGAATCTTGGTGCAGATTATCAATTTTCTGCTGAATACTGAAAATCTTAGAAACATTCTGTTGTTTATAGCTGGTTTCCATATGCTCCCAGATTTCATACGCATCCTCCAAATAAGAAATCAAATTCTGAACATCAGGCTCAACAGAATTGTTTAACCAAGTACATACCATCGCATTGCAGCGTAACCATGAACCAACATCAGGATGATTATCCGGTGGTTGCTTCTGAGTACCAAGAATAAATCCCAATTTATTCTTGGCAATTAACGCCTTACGAATGGAACGAGACCAAGTACCATAGTTGGATTCACCAGAAAGCTTGTTCGAGACAAGCGAAACACTAGAAGAATCAGCTGCGTGAAGGAAAAGAGAATCTGAATAAGGATCCCTAGCCAAAATACGCGAAGAAGAATCTGAAGAAATAGGAGCAGCTGAATCGGAAACAACAGGTGGGATTTCAGAATCATCCACCATGTTGAACAAAAAAGAAGAGAAAACCGAAACGGAAGAGAAAAATCAAATCGAAAAAGAAACCCAGAAAATCGGAGCAACGAGCGAAGCCTTTAGCTCTGATACCATTTCAACTCTGAGAAAATCATTTCGAAGAGAGAAAGGAAAGGAGAATTTTGGAAAAGATTTTCTGATTTCTTAATTACAAATGTCATTGTACATCCTAATATATACACATTACTAATCTAAAGAATTTGAAAATACAACAGAAAAGAGAGCGGAAATTTACAAAATTTCAGTAATAGAAATGGAAAACAGGTTCGTTCCGAGTCTGGCACAGCTAACCAAACCAGAGAGGAAACGCTGCACCATTGCTGTGTGAATATACACTAATACACCTAAATCATGCATTTAAAAAGTAATATTATTTTTCATTTAAAAATAATTTTATTATTAATTTTTTTGTCCAAAATTATTTTTTTAATATCTTATCCTCTAACCGGTATCTGAATATTAAATGTTTCCAATAAAATAAAATAAATAAATAACTACAAAAATAACAAAATAAATAAATATATAAGTATGTGTTTATACATATATATGATACAGATGTATACGTATATATACCATATAAACATATACATATAAAAATAAAATAAATATATACATACATATATACATATATATACATATACATATTTAATTTTTTATTAAGATAAAATCTATAAAAATTTCTTTTAACTTGTAAAATTGTGAAAAATAAATTTCTAAACATTTCATCTAAAAAAATTATTCTCGAACTTGCAAAAATATAATTATAAATTCTGAATTTATAAAATATATCATTATAATTCTCAAATTTATTTTTCAATAAACATCGTCAAAGTTTTTTATGACACTAAATAATAAATTTGAGAATTATAATGATATATTTTGCAAGTTTGCAAATACATTTGTCAAACAACAAATTTAAAATTTATTTTCTAGAATTTTATAAGTTTAGGAATTTTTATAGATTTTATCTTATTTATTATGTCAAATTTTCGTTCACAAATTTTATATATTTCGTATTCAGATATTTTTTTATTTAAACCCATGGAAAAAAGTATAGGATTGTTTCTAGTAAAATTCTCAAAAATCAAAAAAAAAAAAAAAGAAAAATTATATTTTTCTATATAAATTTAGTCAAATGTGATCTTTCCATAGTGTATTTTTAATTTGATAAAAAATTATACTTGAATTCAAAATTTTTCAAATGTCTACACGAATTGTTAAAACTAACGGCGATTAAATCCATAATCATCATTTTCGTTAAAATTTTTCGGATTCTTTTAATTAATACATTAGTTAGATAATTACTATAACTACCATACATGTCAGTGTATTAGTTAACAGAATCCGAAAAATTTTAACAAAAATGATGATTATATATGTAATTATCTTTAGTTTTAACAATTTGTATAGACATTCGGAAAATTTTGAATTAAAGTATAGTTTTTTGTTAAATTAAAAATACGAAAAGGTCGACTAAATTTGTGTAAGAAAAAAAATAATTGTGAATAAATATAATGATACGCTCACGTTGAGCGCGTTGCTGTCACCTCCCTAAAAACACTTTGTGTCATTATATAGGGAGTACAGAATAATATATGCCTAAATTTGGAAATCGCAAATTTAGGCGCGTGGGATTCGTTTGACTTAGCTAACCATTGTGAAGAGCTCAAGGGCCGTCTGTTAAGCCTCTATTGTAGGTCACTTCGGGCCTTACGTTTTAACATTACGGCCCACTAACAATTTCAAGCAATTTTTTTATTTTTATTTTATTTTTGTCAAAGCAATTCAAATCGTCCATTGGAAAATTTCCTAAAAGACCGAACCCTCGCTTACTGAAATTTACTGGTGAAATTTTCCCGCTCGGAGCTTTTCTTCTGCCGACGGATCCACCAGCGGTAATGGCTTGCGTGGATTCTTACGACGACGAAGAGTGGGAGCTTTGCAACGACGATGGCTTCGTATACAAGCGAAGGAAGCGCCGCCGTGTCGCCGGAGACGAGAACGCCGCCAGGCCGCCTGATCCAGTGGTGGATGCAGAAGCGGAGGAGAGGAATCGGCGGGAGAGGATGAGGAGAATTCTGTTGAAGCTGAAGAGCAGGTACCAGAGCGAGATCGAGCAGTGGGAGATTTTGTCGAGCAGTTTGAGCGCGATGCAGGTTAAGGCCGATCGATTCCGGACGCAGCAGCGAGAACACCTGGGAAATGCAGAAACAACGGCGTATTTTCAGGAGTCATCTTCGGGTGGAGCTCGAGAAGAAGCATCGGGGCGTCCGTCTGTGCTCGACGAACTCCTATTCATGGTAAAATTAGGGTTTGTGTTACGGTAGATGTTTCAACGTTTGGTTTCGCTGCTTTGTTCCCGAGAGATTGCCCGCAGAAGTGTTGGAGCTCCATGGATAGTACGTAGAATGTAAAAACAAAAACGGGTGTAAAATTTTGCAGGCGGAAGCGCAGGAAGCGATGATAAGGGACGTTTCGAGGATGTGTGAAGCGGCGGAAGAAATGTGTAGAGTGGAAGAAGAAGAGGCGAAGGAGGCCTTGTTTGATTTACAAATATGGGGATCACCCAGGGATCTTATGTCATCTCTTTGCGCTGACGAATGAGAGCGGTAACTTTGTATCCCTCTCCTTCTCTGTCCGATGCATTTGCCTCTGTAATGCACAAAACGTCTTTCTGTGTATTTAATTATCATAATACATATTTCGGGCACTCGTCATCCTGTTGTTCTCGTCGATTCAACTTTGTTCTGAACTGTATAATTATATGCCAAGTGTTGCACTGTCAGTCTACATGTAAATATATATCATACATCCCAGATCATATGACAAGTGTCATTTCGATTCCTTTTGTTTAAACTTTAGTTTTTTAGATTTAATTAATAACATTTGTATAGTAAATAGAGAAAGAGAGTGATATCGCTACCATTTTTTTTTTTAACTCAAAAAGAAAACACAGACAAATGACTGCATTGAATTTTGCAGGGTCATTACCAAACTGTACAACAAAATGTACCAAGCAGAGACCAAACGAGAAGAAAGAAACATGTTATTGAAGTCTTTCGAACTTTCTTTTCATTACCTGAGAGGGTGACAGCAGAATATCGCTGCCAAATTAACTTAAATCACTCTTCTTCCTCTTCTTCTGAAACAACCTCTGTCTCGTCCCCAATATCCTCGAGAAGCTTTCCGACATCCTCTCCGAGTTCTATGAGCCTTGCGGTGAGCTTCTCGACCTTACTCTGCTCCTGCCCGAGACACACCAACAAATCGTTAAGCTCGGCCTCGCTCTCTTCTCTCACTTCTTCCTTTATGGCTTCGATATCTGGGAACGCCCTCATCGTCGGCTCCTCCCCGCCTTTCAGAGCCTTCACCTCGTTCTCGAGATGGTAATTCGCCTGTTCAAGGCTGTTGTATGCGTCCGATAGGCTCTTTAGATCTGACTCGAGTTTTGAGGCCATGTTTTTGTAGGAGGATGCCTCGGATTCAATCTTGGCTTTCTCTAACTTGAGCGTCTCTAGACGCTGAGATGTTTCTTGGAGATCTCTCCTCAGAGTATCCATCTGGAACCTATCCATCACCGTACTTTCCCTCTGCTCCGATCCTTGGGAATGTTCACTCCCTCCAGCCTTTGCCAGGTCCTCTGCCAAAGAAGAGTTCCTAGCGAGAAGGCTCTGGACAATGCAACGAGAGTTGTATTGAGAGAGAGAGAGATGCCAGCAATTGTTGCCATTCTTGAGATTTGTAATATTAGACCAAAATTTCCCGGGATTTTGAGATTTGAACACTGAACCAAATGTCTGAATGCCCCCTTGATCTACTGTCTAACTAAAATTCTACTTTTTTAAGGTTCTAACTAATATTGTCTGCAATCAGAGAATTGATGAAACCCTAAGGCTAAACAAATATATAGGAGATTGATATAAAATTATTCTAATCTAAAGCTGGACTCTTGATTCTACTCATAAAAAAAATAGCTAGAGAGAGAGATGTGTACCTGTATCTCAGAGCATTGTTTCTCTATGAAGGCTTTCAAGCGACAGATGTAGTCTTTCTCATTTTCTCCAGTCTTTTGCTCCAATTCGGCTGGTACTACAGCCACCTCGCTTTTCGGTCGACTATACAAATCTACAATTCTCTCCCTGATGTTACCTTCGAGACTCTTCACCAAGCCTAAAAAACTAGCATCAAAGAGCGACGAAAGTATCGGGTGATCCTCGTTTCTCTTATCTGCTTCATCCACATCCCCAATCTCATCCGTACTATGAGCCTGTAACGGCTTCTCGGATGAGAAGAGGAAACTTTGCTGCATCTCTTCAAACTTCGAAAAATATGATGTGAGACCCATCTTCTGGCTTATGGCATCAACAATAGCAAAAGCGTCTTTACCATTTTCATTTAATTTATTGTAAACCACACATTCTCCCAACAGAATAGCTGCCAAACCCCTTGTGCACACTGTTGCCGCTTGGTCTGATACCAATTCGAGTAGATAGGTTAGGTGCGGACGTGAATCTAGAAAGCACTGTACTGCTGCCGGGCAATCCGCATTCCAAGTGACCAGCAGCTTCAGAATGATTTGTTGAATATACGATTTTCCCATTGCACTTAATTTCACATCTTTGTTTTTCATGGAAGAGGAGATAGCCAGGAACTTCACAATCCTGTGCATTAGATGCTCGGGAGTTCCCAAGGAAGGCATAGATGATTCAAGTACAATTTGTAGAGCCTGTGGAGTGTGAAACAGTAAGTAGTGATGGGTAGAGAGAAATATGGTAATCGAACTTGAGGCATTAATCGATTGAGACCTCCTTAATGTTCATACCTTTCCCTTGCATGGGGTGTTGTCCTTCAGCACATGAGAAAGAACGCTTGCAGCTCTGCAACATGTCTGTGTTTGAAATAAATAGGTTTAAGTTCCGCAAGATATATGAACAAAATTCCAACAGGGCGCTTGGTTTTACCTCGAGATCACCATCAGTTTCACCAGAACAAAGACCATGTAATAGCATACTGTCCCAAAAAAATAGAACTCCAGTCAGATTATAACTACCTCTCAAGTGAAGGGTACACCAAGGACAAAGGCAGCGACACTGAAGTAGTGTGACCTTTAGTCATAGATAGGTCAGCCAACAACATATGTTAAAGGAAGAAGAAGAACAATACAAGACCTTCCAAATGAAATGTTAACATCATCTTCAAGAGGATCCTGGGCAGCAGAATGTGGTAATGGTATTAAAGTTGATGCTAGCATTGCTTGGCCATCTGGATTTTTCTGGAAAATTTTACTCGATGAGTTCAAAAGACAGATGCACAATCATGTGAGAATCCGTTATCACACATTAGGCATGGTAAAAGGCAATGTATAAGGTAATATTATTTTACACAAGAGGTCCAACCTCGCAGAAAGCCTTGAAAACATAATCAGCTGCTACAAACTCTTGCAAACTGGAAGTCCTTAAAGTGATCCGGAGTATAGAATTGAGAGCAGGTTCTACTTGCGGATCTTCGGCAAGAACTTTGCTAGCAAGGACCTCACGGTTCTTGGGATGCCCATAAATCAGATCTCCAGTACATCTAAATGCCTAGGGCACACAGTAGAAGAATCCAATAAAATGTTAACTTTTGAGTTACAAGGAGAGGGAGTAACACCGAACTTGGACTTCACTAACTGCTCTAGCAGTTGAGTCAATGATACATCAAGAATTTCTACTTCATAATGCCATTGGTCACAAGACTACCTAAGCAGATGCTTTCCATGGCCAAGCAATTGGCAAACTGCAACCAAAGAGTTTGTACTATTTACCTAATAACAAGGTTCAAAGGAGGGTTTTCAGAATTGGAAATGAGAACATTCCTACCCGTTGATTTTAATTAGTAGTTAAACAATCGGCCTAGGTGTTCTGTTCTATGCACCGTGTGCAGCCAAGATTTACCCTAATTGGAAGGAAAATTCCATTGAGCACCTAATACAATGCTACTAGGAGACCAACTTAGCTTAAGCGCCCAACTGAAGTGCTTGATTTTTTGTGTTCACTTTTCTCAGCCGAAAATTATGATATTTTAGGCCTTTTTTTTTATAAGTGCACAAAAACTTAAAAGGAATCTTGACATGATTATGGATATGAGAAATAATAATAACGGAAAGAAATTTGAGAAAACGAAATTCCCTTACCATGCAGCGAACAGCAACAGGAGCCCATTGGCTTTCAACCCCCAACATCAGCAGGTGGTCCAACAGTTTCTTCTGCAACAAATCAATAATGGCAGGATGAGAAATCATATGCCGTCCAGTATGGAACAAATAATCTCAACATTCTATAATCATAACATACCTGAACTAAGACTGTTCTGTTTGTAAGCTTGTCTGCATCGTTTCCAGGGTCAGCATCTGAACTTCCCATAATCAGCAAACTGATAGTCTCCAATGCACTGAGCAGATTAACAGTCTACTGGGATTTTATTGATTCAGAAGATATAAAGGTCATCAAGGTTGCAAGGGATGATACACGAAAACCAATCACACCACGCAAAAAGCATATGCATCTGACCTTTTGCTGGGTGAACTTATATGTAACTCCACGCAGTTTCAGAATTGAAACAATTTGGTCAAAACCCATGGTCTCCCTTAGCAGTATCTGGAACAAGCTTAAAGTATCAGTGCATGGCTAGATATAACAAATGAAAAAAACAGCACATAAACAGAAACAGAGCTCAGAAACCTGGTGTGATGAATTGTTGCGAAGAAGATTATTCAGCAACACCAGACAATCCTGAGAAGAGTACACATTAGTGTTTTTGCACATAAGGGAACATCAGACCAAAGTATGAGCAGGCCCATGCTCTTAAAGACATGTCACAAGAAGCACTCGCAAGACATTGCAGGAAGACTAAGACATATAGAGATGGTAAGTGTATGTGTATTATTTCTTTATCAAGCAAATGGCTTCCTAGTTTGCATTGCCCTGTGCCAGTGCTACTGGAAAATGTTATGATAATAAGTTAAGAAATGAGATATGTGGTCACCTGCACGACAACACCACCATCTGAACCACCCTCCTCCCTGACAATACTGAATATCTTTTCAAATGCGCCTTCAAAGACAACAATTTTTTGGATCTCCTACAAATAATGAATCAGCGGGATAATCAAGTCCATGATGTGTCAAGCTTTAACCAACCACAAAGGATTAACAGACAAGCAATCAGGGGGTCTCACCTTTGCTTCACGAGTCAAGTGTGTAAGAAGTAACAAAGCCTCATTCCGGATCACCTGGAACGCAGACACCACTGGTTTTGTAAAACGTGACCAAAACATGCAAAAAATGATCCTCAACCTTTCTTATAGTTTATGATACAACCGTACAAGGATGATTGAGGCTAAATAGACCATATTCTTAAGCAAATCTAGCAGCAACAATAACAGCAACAACAACAACAACAGCGCCTCAATCCCAAGTTTATTTGGGGTCGGCTACATTAAATTTTTTCCATTCATTTCTATTTTGGATTAAGTCCTCCGAAATTTGCAAATACTGTAAATTATGACTAATCACTCGTTCCCAAGTAAGTAGATCTAGTAATAAGAAACAAATCAAAGAGAACTAAAAGGTCTACCTCCCTATCCATAAGCATATCCATGAGTCGAGTTATACCACGAGGAATGGTCAAAATAGCTTCCTGTAACCTGAAGAGACAGTCAGCAAATGTCTCTGCAGCACAACTAGAAGATGACAAATATATAATACAGAGAATGTATTTGTAAAACTTTTATACCTGTTTGGAGAGTTCATAAGAAGTGCTGTCAAAACCTGAAGTGTGTAATATCGAACATAGAAATCTTCTTCTTCCTGCCAATCACCCAGACAATTTTTTTTTACATGCACACCCAGTGACAAAAGTAACAGAACATTAACTTATAACAAAATTATATTTAACTCTAACCAGCAAGCTCAAGAGAAGTGTGATGCTTTCAGCTTCTCGAGAGAGCAAATCAGAGTTCATAAGAGCTGGACGAACTTCAGCCTTCTGCCCCTTTGCATGATCAATTGGTGTCAGAGCACTAACTAGAGTTTCTAGAGCACCTCGAACCTGGAAGAACAGAGAGAACAAATTAAAGAATAACACAACAAAAATTGTACAGTATAACTTGATGTGAGCAAGAAATACGAGCTCCTACTTTTCAGAATAAATAAATCTATTTTTGTTCCACTCATTGCTTATAAGACCCACTTGTTACAGCATTTCTCAAAATAGAGCAACCATACAGGGCATTTTAACCATGGAAGAAAAAATACAGTAACATGAAGCTTTAAAGTGAACAAAACACATACAAAAAGGAAGATACAACACCATTTCAACATCATCTCGTTCATCCTTTAGAATTCCCAGTATTACAGGAAAACCTGCAAAGAGATAATGCAGAGGATCACGTCATAATGTGTCGCCAACAGTTAATCAAAACTTAGCCTGCAAGTGCCCAACAAGAGAAAGGTTACTACCAGAAGCTCCAAAAGCTAATTGAGCAGCATGGCTTTCTCCTACAACAGACAGAAGCTCTGTTATAGCAGTCCTCCTATCCTCCGGTAAGGTACCATTACTCACACGATCCAGCAAGCGTTGAACGTAACTATGCAAATATACCAAACAAAAATGTTATCCTCGTTTATGTATTCAATGATTAACAGATCCTCAGTAAACAAAGACAACTCCCAGAAGTCCAGACTCATAATAAATAAAAGAAAAGGAAAACATACCCGTCGTCATTTGAAGATGAATTATCATTGCTGAAGAATTGCCCAACAACCCCCTGTACAAGTTCTCAAAGCAAGTTAAAATCAGGAATATACAATATAATAAATTGGCAACCCAGCTGTTAATGTAGCATAATATGTATACCAATTATTGCATTGAAGAAATTCTCGGAATTCTTTATATCAAACACACTGGCGATCACTATTTTCACATCCTAGATAAACAGCTCGAATAGATGTCAAATGTCGATACTAAAATCAGATGCACAATAGACTAGAGTCTCGTCATCCCCAAATTTCCCTAGATTCTAGAAATTCAAAGACCCCAAACCAAACAAACTGGGTGAAAATGGGCAGGACGGAAACACGCATTGAAAGCTCAGCCAACAAACTATGAGCTGCGTCAAGTTGGACAGAGACAACATAAATGAAACAAATTACCTTGTAACGGGACGCCAAATCCATCTCTGTTTAACCAGTAACAATCCTGGAACCAAAGAAATTGAAACATTTCAAACTACCACTCAAGGAAAGACAATTCAAATCGAAATCGAGACGGAGAAGCGGATTACGAAACCCTAGAAATGCATCTTTCAGAGAGGAGAAACAAGACCAACAATGCCGAGAGTCGAACAGCTCGTGCAACGCGGACACGGAGAGGATCAGATGAAGAAGACGAACTCTCCAACTAGTAATCGCTATCGATCGCGCTGATTTCTCTCTCTCTCCCCGACCGATGAGAACTTGCGAAGTCAGAAAAGCATAAAACCGTCCGATCGTCGCGATTTCGCCTTTTTCTACTGAAACGGCGGAGTTTAGGAGATGACCTCGATTGCTTACAGTGCTCTTGCCCGTACTGAATTATAGCTTCTTTTGACTTTTTGAGTGAGCTGAGCTGGAGTTTAGGGTGGTGTTTCCATGAGCTTATCATAAACCGTGTCGAACCAAAAAAGGTATTTTTTTTCGATTTGAATTATTAAAAAAAATTGGTATTAATTTTAAAAAAAATTGAATTTTTCGAAATCAAATTGAATTTTTTAAAAATCCGAAAATCTAAATTTTTTTTAATAAAAACTAGAACCGAATCATAATAAAACCGAACGGAATATAATATAATATAATAATTAATTGGTATCTATTTTTATAAAACAAAAAGAACCAAACCGAATTATTTTCGACCCGAAATCGAATATCGATTGACATCCATTTTTATAAAACTAGATCGAATCGAACCGAATTTTTTAAAAACCCGAAAACCTAAATATTTTTTAAAAAATATATAATGTTTTTAATAAGAACTAGAAACAAATCGAAATTAAAACTGAACCAAATATAATATAATATAATAATCCATTAACATCTATTCTTATAAAATTAAAAAAAAAACTGAACTGAATGATTTCCGAAGTTCATTTGGATTATAAAGGCCCTGAATTTTGGGCTGAATAGTCCAATGGGCTCTATGCACTACCATGGACCATAGGTCCAAATCTTATCACCACGTATGGTTATGATAATTACAAAATCATACTTTTATTGCAAAATATGCAATTCGTGGGACCCATTATTATGTTTTACTTCCTCGAGAAGTTTTTTTTGGTGACAAGGAGGATGGTTCTCCGTGCCTTCTATCCGACCTGGAATCAGTATTTGTATATGGACCATTTTGATCAAGAAATTACATTCTTCCCCACCAGTGAAATCGAACTCAGAACCTTGAAAATGATTTTGTCACCTCAAACTATCTTTATTTACCTATAAATACATGTACACAGAGCCGTCTTAGAGGGGTGCGAGTGGTGCTTTAACATAGGGTCCCACAATATATATGGGTCTCATATTTTAAAAAATATATATTTTTAATATAAATTTATTAGTTTGAAATTAATATTTATTAATATTATATTTAATAAATAAATAAAATCATATTTTACCGAGTCTTGCTCCTTAAAATTAGGTGAATAATATCTTTATAATATTTATTATTAATAATTATAATTTTTTAGTCTTTTAATGTTATGGTATTAAATCAATATAATTTTTTTTTGTCTATAAATCAAAAGTGAATATATGTAATCTTACACTATTATTCATATCTAAAGTTTCAATCCAAAATTTGTTATACAAAATCAATCTCATATCTTCTCATTTTTTACATATTTTATTTTACGAACATCACAAATATTAAGGTATTATACATATTTTTAGTTTTTCTAATGATAATATTATCATTGTATTGCAGATTTATTATTCTTTAATAACAAGATATTTTTGCTTCAAATAAAGTTAGAATAATGATGTTATTTAAATAAAAAATGATATAATTATGTTATTTTTGATAACCTTTTATTTTTTATATTAATATTTTAATATAATTCATAATAAAATTATATTTAATATTTAACTTTTAAATTTAATATTTTTATAATAAAAATAAAAATTTTGTACAGAGCCCCACAAATGTTTGAGACAGCTCGCATGTACATAACTCCTTATTCATAAGAAGAATAACATACGCATACGCAAAAACTCATTCTCTCTACTCTTTCTCTCTCCTTTAATTTTTTTTGGTAACCGGAGAATTCACGTGGACCTTTGACTCAATCTACATCTCCCCAGATACGGAAACAGCCGTCGTCAAATTACGATCTTTGGCCGTAATTAGCCTCCCTCTCCATATGCGAGGTTCGAACCCTAGATGTCTTGTTCGTTTCTTTTATTTTCAACAACTTTCGCAATCTACAAGCATACAAACAATTCAATAATTTTATGATGGATGCAAATATTAGATAATTTTTAATATCTTTCGGGGAAAAATAGTTAACAAATCATATCGTTTATGGAATCAAAATTATAGAATATTTTGATAGAAAAAAATTGTTGATTTATTATTTGTCATTTTTGAAAATAAGTATTTGAGATGTTACATGTGAGAGGTGGAATCTTTAGTTTTGGGTTCGTCGAAATTTATTATTTAATAACTGTTTCCATTAAAGTCGTTGTAGTATAGTGGTGAGTATTCCCGCCTGTCACGCGGGTGACCCGGGTTCGATCCCCGGCAACGGCGAGTTATATTTTTCTAATTCCTATTTTCGGAATATTCAGGGGATTAATATAATGTCCCCCATTATTATATAAAATGTCTAAGGTTTTCGCCAATTACTGACTCGCATCAAAATTTCATAGTAGTAACAGACGACAGGAAAGAAAGCAACTTTTTTTTCCTGAGTAAACAAAAAATAAAAAATAAATTCATATTTTTTTATATTGGCGTCAAAAAGTTTTTCAATACTTTCTTATTTTTTTTCCTTTTATATTTGATTCATTATGGTTTTTTCTGTTCTCATCTTTAACGTGTTTTCTCTCGTGAAAGTAAAATACGTATAAAATACGCAATACATAAATGTGATACCAACAAAGGACAAAAGAAAAAAAAATTCAAATTAGTGATACCATATTTTGTTTAATCGACCATTTCATTGCACACCACTGTCATGTATATAAATAGAACATATATAATTCTTTCGGCTAGTGTTTTATGTAACTGGGGCTTAGGACCGAACAGTCAGAGACCAATCCTAGGTCCAACACGGACAAGTTCCCATGATGTTGGAACTCTGTAACAGAAGACACAAACTAATATGCATGCAGTATCAAACAGTTTATTCTTACCAAAGATAAGATCAAAAGAATCTGCAGAATCTGAGCCGACGAATTCTCTTTTTTTTTTGGTCAAAGTCTTCTAATCTAAATCAGAAAACGAACCTAAAAAGCCACACTCAAATTACAATGTTACAATCAACCTTCGATCTCCACTTCAACTCGCTTTCGTTCACAAGTTTCTACCTTCCGTACGGATGATACCGGCCACTTCCACCGCCGCCATAGCCACTTCTACTTCCTCCATAGAACGAGCCTCCTCCACCATATCCTCCACCGCCCATTTCATAGCCACCTCCTCCTCTATAGCCGCCTCCTGCTCCACCGGCACTACCCATACCACCGTACCCACCACCGGCTCCGGCTCCACCGCCATAGCCACCACCAGGTCCACCACCGTACCCACCTCCTGGTCCACCATAAGGGCTGCCGTACATGTCACCAGGTCCACCACCATACCCACCACCGCCCATTCCATAACCACTCCGGTTATAACCGCCACCTCCTCCTCCTCCTCCGTATCGACCCGAGTATCCGAGGGCTGGTTCTCCTCCTCCACCTCCTCTGTGAGGCCCAAAGCCACCGCCATATCCTCCGTAGCCTCCAAAATCGCCACCTGGGTAACCTCCAAACCCGCTTGATCTGCCGCCTCCATAGCCACCACCTGACTTGTAAGGACCACCATATCCGCCACTGTGTCCACCACCATAGCCGTCACCATATCCACCACCAAAGCTAGACCTTGATGAGTCACTGAACCTCTTTGCTGGTGGTGGAACCGAGTTCGGTTTCTTTGGCTCTGCCTTTTTTATCTCTACCTGTAGAGCAATAATTTCACCAAATAAATCCAAAAACCAAAGAAAGGTGAGAGACTCTCTAGAGTCATATCACATATATCTCAGTGAAATTTTGGAAGTTCTTGAGGTAGCATACAGAATGCTAAGAGGGGAAAATCTGAAATTAGCAAATAACTAATGATGTTAAACTCACCGCCATTAGGGCATAAGCATCAAACCAATTACAGAAATTGCAGTTTAAGGATGATTATTTTCAAAGAAAGAAATAGGTGCAAGAGTTGCATTAGTTACACAGTATCGAAATCTGACAACATCGTAAGAATGTCCAAGTTATTACCTGAGCCCCGGCAAACTCAATCCTGTTTCCTTTCACCAAGAGATCATCAACCACATCTTCATTGTCATACGTAACAAATCCAAAGCCACGGGATCTCCCAGATGAGTGGTCACGCATAATCTGGTGTTCTTTCACCTCTCCAAATTGCATAAAGAATTCCTTGAACTCATCTAATAGAATCCGGAAGATAGAGAATATTAGGGAAAATCAGATAATATATTGGTATGGAGATGAAAAAGAAAAGCATTCCTACCATCATTTACAGACGAAGGAATTCCACCGACAAAAATTTTCTTGGTCTTGAAATCATTGGAACCCATAGATCCTCTAGGTATGGTCCGTTTAATCTCAACCTGGTGAACCAAAACGAACAGTGAACTCAATGGTGTACTCTAATGCATTCAAACAGTAAAAGCTATGCTTAAGTTAAAAAAATCGACCTGTTTCCCATTTATAACGTGAGTGTCCTGGATGACTTTATCGACCACAGATTGGTCAGCATATGTCACGAACCCGAATCCACGGGGCTGCCCGGTTTTCCGGTCCTTCATAATCACAGAATCCGTGATTTCTCCATATTTCCCAAAATGCTTGACAAATTCGGCTGCAAGAACAATCGAAACCTAATTAAAAGTATTGAACTTTACACATCACAAGGGTTACACTTAGTAGTCTAACGATGTAGCAAGCAGACACAAGACAAGAGCTAACCTGAAGTAGTCTCCCTGGCTAAACCTCCAACAAAAATTTTTCTACAAATTCCACAAACATTGTATAAGTACTTACTAACCACTAAACAGCAAAACTTGAGAAGATAACCAAATTCATCCTTTTCCACTTAAGATTTCTCGAGAAACAAACACAAGGCAAACCCCATTTGGACAATTTCGCATAACAGTCAGAGAAACGAATCAAGACTTGAATCTTGACCTTAACTTTTTCCATCTCGACGTTTCTAGGGTATCAAACAGAAGATCCGAACTTTCAGAGCACGAACTAGAGATCAAATTCTCCAACTTATCTCGCGAGAGCTAAAAGGAAATACTGAAAAACGAATCTGGCGTCCTTATTCTACTTCATCTCAAATTTTCTCGAGGAACAAACAGCAAACCAAATCAAACAGAGCCAATCCTAACTTTCTCGACCTAAAAATTTCTCGGGAAAAGCATAAGAATAGCAAAAGAAAATTACCCGGGGCTATCGACGCCGCCACCGGCGTGAGGATGAGATTTATCGCCCTCATCGTCAACCTGGTCAGAGGGTTTAACGTACTTAGTCTCATCGTCACGAACCGTCTCCGTTCCATACGATTCCATGACGGCCAAATCCAAACCTCCCTGCGACGAAGCTTCGATTGAAAATGGAGGAGGAGAGGCCTTAATGCCGGATCGTAACTAAGCCCTAAAAACCCTCGAGACCCGACGGATAACGCCTCACCCTACTCTTGGTTGCAGTGGATTGTTGCTCGCGTCTTTTGATAAATGATGGACGGTAGATCTCGCGTTTTAGCTTCTGAATGAATAAATCTCAACCGTTCAAGTCATTCTTGTATTATTCTGGATAATAGCAATTAAGCCCCTTTAATTACAAAACATTCATATATACCCCTCTGTTTTAATTCGTTTATAATAGCCACATAAGTTTACAATATGTAAGATACTGTAGAATCATAGAGAATTCATTTACATGATTAGAAAGACAGCTATATTTTGTTTTCGGAAATTTCTGAAGCTACGTGACTTGGGAAGAATTTTTCTACGAATTAAAATAGGTGACGGGAGACATCGGCGTTCTGGTTTGATAACTGGACCGAGAAGGGAGCACTCATCGGCCTTGTTGGAGAGGCGGGGCCTCGCTTATTGCGCATTCGTCGGCATGCGACTGTAAGTGAGGCAGCTGAAGAGGGAAGTTGGCGATTACCGGCGACCAAAAGTGAAAGGCTAGTCGAGTTACAACAAGTATTGTCCACCATCACTCCACCGACAGCAAACAGAGGTGAGGATACATTTCACTGGCGACAAAGAGGAGGAGAATATTGTGCTTCTTTCCATTCTGGAAGCACGCGTTCTCTCCTACGATCGCACATTCCGGACGTCACATGGTACCACATTAGTTTTTTTTAAATGCTTTTTCTATTTCTTTTCTAGAATGTCTAATATTTTTTTTACATCTTCTATGGGAGTCTGGTTCCGTGGTGCAATTCCGCATATCTCATTCATTTTATGGCAGGTGATGCAGAACAGACTTCCAACCAGAGACCGACTTGCCTCGTGGGGAATGAACGTGCCCATCATATATACTCTATGCGCCAGAGAAATGAATCACATGAGCATTTATTTTTTAAATGTCCTTATAGTGGCAGTGTTTGGTTACGGATGGCAAGATACTGTGGCCCTTCACGGCCGAATGACATCAACGCATGCTTGCAGTGGATGGCAACACCTGATTTCGGCCGAGACCACGGACAACCGAGATTAACCAAGTTTTGCGCACAGATTATTGTGTATGAGTTATGGAGAGAAAGGGTCAATCAGATATTCCAACAGAAAACGAGGACCGCAGAGGAAACCTGTAAGAAATTTGACCGTACAATGCGAGATAAATTATTCCAATCAAATAATATAATAACCAAATTCAATATAATATCAAATGAGAATTTTAATAAAAAAAATTGAATTTAAATCAAAATTACTTGAATTCGAACATAAACGGATTGATCCAAATAGAAACAAATTGAATATGAATCAGAATGAATTGATTTGAAACAAATTTGAATTAGAAGAATTTATTCGAATGCGAACGAATCGATTCGTATGGAATTCGAATCAGAACGAATCGATTCGTATGAAATCCAAATCAATTCCAAATCGATCAAAATTGAATACGAACTGTAGCGAATCAGTTCGAATCAGAATAAATCGAATTCGAATCAATTGATATAGAATATGAATCGTAACGAATTGATTTGAACCAAAACCAATGTGAATCAATTCAAATAAAATCAAATCGATTCACAAAATATATTTGATTTTATCACATGTCTATTGAAATACTCAATATTAATAATGAATTAGATAACAAAGCAATTAGTTTAATTAAATAAATAGAATTATTGGGTTTAATTAGGTTAATCCAACCCATATATTTTTAATTTGGGTTGGGTTAACCTAACCCAAAATATCACAAAACCCGTATGGGTTTGGGTTTAATGGGATGGTTTGCCCAAGTTGACAATTATAACAAAATGTACTGAAATCTGTATGCACTCATTTGCTATCAGAATAATATTTCTTACGTTCTAGACTGGAAGAACTATCATGCTATCATGGATTCAGGTATGTTCTAAATTCCAAATTAATTTTTTATGTGGTATACACGATGATTGGTCTAGATTAATATATACTCCGTATTTTATAATATAATATTTCTGTAAAATACTATCAAGTGGTATCAGAGTCACTTCATGACATATCACATAAAAAATATGGTTAAAATGAAGTCTGTAAAATTATACATATTTTCGGACTAAAATTTTGCATGAAAATATTTATGAATCGGACGTTGCATATTGAACATAGTAATACATATTTTTCGGATCAAAATTATAAAAACAGAAAATATGAATGAATGTCTAACATAAATATGACAATTTTGTGCATATTACAATACAAAAATATATGAACAAACAATACGAATCTGTGATTGCATAAATAATTTTTTGGATTAAAATCCAATGTAGAAAACAACATATATGATCAATATGCAATATGTACATTTTTGTATGTTTGTATAAAAATTTTGAATTAATAAAACATACATAAAATATATGGTAGATATAATATCGAAAATGAAGCATGCAAGTATTATACATAACATATAATTTTTCATGTGTTAAATAGAATATGCATGTTGAGTGATTTCATATTCCTTTTTATCTTGTCTAAGTAAATAATAAAACTTAGATATAGAAAACTAAAGCTAAAAACATTTAGAAAGTAACATATTGTAAAATATTAAAAAAATTAAAGAAATGTGACTCAATCGAACCAAAGGGTAGAAAACAAATTATGATAAAGATTATATGAAAATCTTATTAGAATTTAGGAGAACCGAAAAATAAACCCAAACCGATGTTTTAATGTAGCCACAAAAAAAAAGATTCTAACAATTGTAATTTCTGGTTTTTTAGAAAATCAGAAATCAATCAAAATTTGAGGGTTAGGATCAAGGTATGAACCTTGGACTAAATTGTGTATATGACAATATTTTGTCGTTGTAAGTGACAAGTCCAAATGATCCATCAATTTGGTTAAGGTGGCAAATTAGAAACACAACAGAAAACCAGAATGGGACACGTCTGAACTGAGAGTGTCAGATTTCGGATTAAACCGGAACATAGAACTCAAAGTGCCGCAAACTGAAAAGTCATGAAGACGCGTGAAAGTTAAAACACAAGTCAAAATACGTGACAAAGGCTCCTGGTGTTGGGTCGCACGGGATCCTCGCACACCGGTTCACAATCGGGCTCGGATCTGGTCCGCGGACTTGCGCAGCGGAAATGGCATTCAAAATGATTTTGAACTGCCCACGAACCAATCACGCTCCGATGAAGAACTTCAAGAGAAAAACTAATCTTTGAATCCTTAGATTCACAATCTGAAGGTGGCTAGTTGACCAGCCAAGGTGTTGAAAGAGTCAACACCTTCTTGAGATATCCACACCCTTTGGATGGTTTCCAACACTTGGAACTTACTTACTAGAGCTTGAAGAGATCAAATCTCTTGTATGAGTGTTCAAGAACACTTGGGAGAGTTTCTCTCTCTCTTAACCTTTTCCAAAGTCTGAGAATGATTGTGAGAGAGTCTAATCTATTCCCACATGCTTCCCATTAAGAAAAAGGTGAGAAAAACGCACTTTGGATCTGATTGGAGTCTTGGTCCGGAGCTGAGTAACTCTTGGTCAGCCGGACCAAGCACACGCATCCGACACTTGCCGACAGTCCCCAATCCGGTGGACCAAGATCCTGGTCCGTCGGACCAGCTAGGTCCGAGGCAACATGCACAGGTCCGACTGACTGGTCTGGTCTGTCGGACTAAGATCCTGGTCCGTCGGACCAACTAGGTCTGAAGCATCACGTACAAGTTCGACTGACTGGTCCGGTCCGCCGGACCAAGTCTTAGTCAGCTCCGGACCATATCAGTTTTTCGGCCAAGTTCGGCTGTATATATGTATGTGTGTATGTATATATATGAACGGATGTCCAAGTATCCGTTGTCAAGAAAATACTCCCTCTATGATTCCTAAAAAAACTCCAACTTCGTCTTCTCTTCTATAAATATTTTCATGCAGTCTTTTGTGATTGCTCTACATGACGGGATAACAAAACGAGGTTGCACAATCCTCATGAAATACCTAAATCATTCAGTTTCAACAAATTTAAACGGCAACTCATCTATAATTATCATCATCACTAAGGCTCTTAATGATTCTTCCTGATCAAATATCGTAAAGGATAGAACCCTCTTATGGAATCTATTTACATCTGATGAAACAACGTTGTTTGTTTCAACCTCTTACCACTTGGTTCATCAACTTCAACACTATCGTCCTGATGCATCTTTTTACAAATCCTCAAATGCTTTATCATCGCACTAGTGGTTGTACCCCCTCCAGCCATGCATATAATTTGACTACCAATAATTGCAAGTTGCCTTTTTACCATCAACATTTCTTTTAAAATAGTTCCAAGCTTCAGATGTATGTTTAGGTACCTTAGCATTCGTCTCTCCTCCAGATTGCTTATTATGATCATCGTCATTCGTATCTGTGACATCCATCGAGGCTGCAACATCCAGAACTATTTTTGAAACATGAGAATCATCAGCCGTATAAGACATCTATAAAATAAGCATGAATTTGATTAGAAAACAACAAAAAATGTAACCCACAAATCTTTTCCCATAAACTCTTCCAAAAATTAAAAAAGACTCATTGAATCGAAGAAGAAGAAGTATTATCGACAAAAATTCAAAGAAGAAGTAAAATCATCAGAAAAATTCCAAAAAGAAGTAAAATCAACTGAAAAATTAGCAACAAAAAAATCGAAAAAAAAGACATCGAAAAGGTTGCTAATATCAATTGAAAAAATTAAAATAAGAAACCCTAAATCGTGAAACAACAAGAAGAATATAGATATTTACGTTTTTGATGGAAACAACGACGGACAAGCTTGAAGATAAAGAGATTTAGAAGGAATTGCTGTGATTTTTGGTAAAATGAAAAGAAATTGATAAAGAGGAAAGAGAGCTAAGGAGAACGGCACATAAGAGGTAAGAGGAGGTGTTTTTCGACACATTAGGTTTAGGGTAGAGATGGTATTAGGTTAGGGTATTTTAGTCTTTCTAAATCTAAACAGATATTCGGAGGTATCCTGTC